CTTCAAAGCTAAACTTAAAAACCATTAAAAAAAGTTTCATTTTTTGCACAAAATACCTTTAATTCCTTCAATTAAAAAAAAAAATGCCTGTGCTTTTCAGAGAAAAAGTATACCATATATATCTAAAAGGTAATAGGAACTACGTAGAGTAAAAGATAATGTAGTTGGTGAACTTAATGTTTTCTCTTGGTTATTTGATTTTACCAACATTCCAGCCTTATTTTTTATTCTAAGTCTTCTTTAATAAAATTTGGCTCCAGGGGTGCCTAGATGTCTCAGTCAGTTGAGTGTCCAAGTCCTGGTTTCGGCTCAGGTCATGGTCTCAGGGTTGTGAGATCAAGCACTGCATAGGTCTCTGCACTCAGCAGGGAGTCTGCTTGGGATTCTCTCTCTCTCTCTCTCTCCCTGTGCCCCTCCCCCACACTCGCTCCTGCACTCTCTCTCTAAAATAAATAAATAAATCTTTTAAAAAAATTGGCTCAATTTTTCTAAACAATGAAATTTAACAATTATTATAAACTCTACAGAGAAGATCTTAGCTAACTTCCTCACTCATCCCAGATATTCATTGAATTGCTTTAAAATACAGAAGTACTTAAAATTAGCTACAAATAATGTAAATTCAATTAGTAAAGGATCTATACTACTTACAATTATAATAGTTTTTAACCACCTAATGATGACACTAACACCATCATGTTCTCACATGAGATCTATTTCTTACTAAATTATTTGTATTTCAAATATGTCTGATACATTAGGAAAAAAGGAGCCACAGTTAATAAATGATCTAAAACTGAGGCTAGATTTAAACAGCCTTTATAACATGTAGACTGATTAAGATGATAATAGGACTATACCTTTGGCAGCACTTGTGAGAAGAAAGTCTCTTCCAGCGTCAGGTGGTTCATATGAGGTAAAAACATCTCCACAATAATTTTCAGAATTTCTATAAAGCAAAATAGTAACATATTTTATAAGAATATTAAGTCATGTCAGCCAACAAAGATCACTGCCCCTTCCCCAAATGCAAGAATATGTAAGTACTACCAATCTGAAGCTTTGTACAATTTCAAAATGCCATTTTCTATGTAAAAAAACTATGTTTATTAAAAGATTTTATTGGGACGCCTGGGTGGCGCAGTCGGTTAAGCGGCTGCCTTCAGCCCAAGTCATGATCCTAGGGTTCTGGAATCAAGTCCCACATTGGTCTCCTTGCTCAGCAGGGAGCCTGCTTCTCCCTCTGCCTGCCACTCCCCCTGCTTGTGCGCTCTCTCTCTCTCTCTCTGACAAATAAATAAATAAAAATATTTTTAAAAATTTATTTATTTGAGAGGCGCCTGGGGGCTCAGTCGTTAAGCATCTGCCTTCGGCTCAGGTCATGGTCCCAGGGTCCTGGGATCGAGCTCCACATCAGGCTCTCTGCTCTGCGGGAAAGCCTGTTTCTCCCTCTCCCACTCCCCCTGCTTGTGTTCCCTCTCTCACTCTGTCTCTCTCTGTCAAATAAATAAATAAAATCTTTAAAAAAAATAAAAAATAAATAAATAAATAAAAATTTGAGAGAGAGAGACACACACACACACACACACACGAGGGGAGGAGAGGGAGAGGAAAAGAGAGAAGCAGACTCCCCACTGAGCAGGGAGCCCAACACAGGACTCGATCCCAGGACCCTGAGATCGTGACCTGAGCCAAAGGCAGACACTTAACCTGAGCCACCCAGGCTCCCCTATGTAGAGAAACTATTAAGTACCTGAAATAATAACAAGAAAACAAAAACAAAAAAAATCTGTATGTCCAGCCTTTGAAGACCACTTAAAGGATGTGGGTACATCTACTGAATAGGATTTGCTTTCATTAAAATTATTATTCGAGATCATTTAAAACCATGAAAAAATATTCACACAATACTTTAAGGTTAAATGACCAAGCTTCCAAAATAGTATAATCCCAATCTTAATATATATAAACATGTATATACAAAGAATAATAGATAGCCTAGCACGAATGTATAGAATCGAGATGAGAATGTTCTATACCAAAATCTTAACCATTTCAGATTAATGGATGTTTCATTATCTTTTCTGATTTTCTGCACGTTTCAAATTTTCTACAGTGAATATGTTTAAGTATTCACTGTAGAAATATATATACTCAGGATAAAAAAAATTATTACTTAAAAAAATTAGACCCAACAGGCAACAGATTGAAAATTATAAATATCCACAACCATGGAAATGTAAATAGAATAAGGAACTCAAAATATGAGTAAATTGTGTAGTCTAGTCTTAATTCATCTCTTCTCCTAACTAAATAAGTAAATAAATAAGCCAAGTAAGATTAAAGAACAGAGAGAAGATGAGAAAGTCAACCTGAAAGCAGACTGCAAATTATGTTTTATATGAGTCTAACCAGTTTAACAACAAACATTTAAAATTTCAATGCGCTTATATGGACATTATCAATAGTTCTGGTATCCATCCAAAATAGAATTTAAAACTTTAAGTACTACAACTTGAAGGAATTTGGTCATTTTAAGTAACTGAAATTTACAGAGGCTGTAACACTACTAGAATACACTTGAAGGGAATATGAAATGTATCGATATATGTAGACTCAGACCTTAATGACATCAAAGTAAATCAAACAATTAAGATAATTTTACTTACGAATATGCTCGATCCAGTTGTCAGAATGCTGATACATAGAGTAAAAAAATTAAGGAAGATACCAGTATTACAGTAATAGGATATTCACTGCTAAGAATAAATCTAAAAAGCAGCCTTCTTAAAGTTTAGGCAATGATCAGTAAGAAACTGAAATTAAACTCAAATTACTGGCTTAATTTTACTTTTAAAAATTTAATGTTCTTAGGTAAACAAACTATAATATAATGAAAATACTCCAAGGAAATACTTTCAAAATTGAGCAGGGATAAAATTGTCTTTTCAAACTATGTGTAGTTGACATTCTTTTGACAGAGGAACAGTACTATAATAATCCATGGATTTCTGGTTTCTAAAACAGGAAAGAAATTTCTTCCTCCTTCGAACCTCTCCAGTATTTTATTTGCATCTGTGTTAAGTCACTCAACACTTTCTATCTTCTTTTCACGTTGTGTGCCTCTTATGAAGCTTATCAGACTGAAACTCTTCTGCACATAGCAGACACTTATAAATGTGACAATAAATTATCCTACGTCCATTACAAAAGTTAGCAGTAATCACATTATAAACTGTACACTTGTATACCACCAAGAATTGTTAGAAATTTCTTATTGTAAAAAAAAAAAAATTTTCTTATTGTAAAATAAGTATTAAAGAATGTGTCAGCAAGAAAAATGAACAAACTGTAACTCCATCACAGTAATACAAGAATTGATTCTTCTTCTGACATTACTTTGCATATATTAATTTTACAGCATCAATCAAAATGAGGTATAGTCATTAACTCATTTTATTTAGCTCAATAGGGTTGAATTTGTCTTACAGAAAAATTTCAGCAAAGGTCAAAAAAATTCTAGCCCCTTCCAAAATTAAACCTAATTTATGATTATGTAGACATGCAGGTAAAGACTGGAAAAGAGTATGTAAAAGGCAAAATATAAAAATAGTGCTTGGGTGATGTGACTATAAATTTATTAAAAACTTATCTTTCATCTGTTGAAAAGTGTTGAAAACTGGGGGAAGAACAGCTTTAGTTTCTTTTGAATGTTAAGTCTGAGATGCAAAACCAAGTGGGAATGTTGACTTTCAATTACTGAAGCTCCCCATAAGCTTGAGGGGGGAAAAGAGGAACCATGTTCCTTATCTTTGTTCCCCCAAAGCCTAACACCCTGCCTGGTATGTATTATGTGCCCAGTAAAGGTTTTGGAGTAAGGATGCTATGTGTTTTCCAAATCAAAATCCTTGAGGACAGCGATTCCGAATCTGCACAATGACTAAGAAAAGCCTTTGGAACCTAAGTGGGATTTTGCCAATGCCTATGCAAGAAACTTCTACATAACGGTAATATGTATATTTGCCTTTAGATGTAAAATATTTGAGACTCTCTAAAGTGAAGGTCATTTTTTTCTTTTAAGTGTGGCTTTATGTTGAAGGTGAGCGCAAAGGTGTTAAAGAAATAATTACCTTTTAACATGGAGGGCTGGGTTCCAGGCACATTTACAACAAGAAAAACAGTATGCACTTGGACAACGGAGGCATTAAGTAACTCAAACTCAGCAGGTGACAGCCAATGACAAAAGGAAGCAACTCCTTGTAACCAACAACAATGGAAAGAGGTCCGAGAAGAGGAAGAACATTTTTATTTACTGGACATCTTTTACATACTTGGCACCATGGCAGACCTACGTCCTTTAATTCCCGTAATCCTGAGAAAGGTATCCATACTCACCAGCCGTCCTAGAGGTTAAGAGCTCAGAGTACATCTCTTTACCTCATCCAGCTATTAGGAGTCAGAGCTCACCTCACAGGTCAGGTCTGAGTGCTTCCCTCCCCGCTATCCCAAGCAAAGGTATTTACACTTAATTGCACGTGACGAGTACAGAAAAACTCAAAGGCACAAAGGAATGGAAGAAAATGCCACATCCACTGCCAAAATCAGGGCGGAACACCAGTGCGAACCCTTCCAGTGCCAAAGGGAGGCATGCCTTCGGTCTGGGCAGCCATGGTCCCCGCTCGCCCTCGTCTCCCTCGCTTACTCATCCCGCCCATCAGCGAGGAAAGGAGAGAGTTCAGGCCTCAGGAACTCTACACGGCCCGGCGGCGAGTGTGACGAGACCGGAGAAAAGTTGGGAGACCTGCCCCACGGCCCTCTGTGGGGGGAGGCGACAATGAAGGATATAAGGAGCCGGGGCAGGACAGACGGCAGTTCCCGGCGGCACAGCTCCTCCGGCCAGCTACTTAATTCTTCCAGAGGAACAGCGCTCGCCGGGGCCGCGCTTTCCTGAGACATGTTTCGCCAACCAGTGCAGCTTCAAACCAGTCCCGCCACCGCCACGACCGGAAACTCCCGCCCTCCCGGCAGGCCTTGCGAGCTCTCCGCCGGCACCAGTACCATAGAGAGGAAGCGGACTGCGTTCCTCGTGAGCTCGAGCCGCGCGCGGCTGGGAAGGGAGCCGGGCTTGTCTGGCCCGCGGAGGACTCGACTCACAGGTGCGCGCTTTCCATTCCGAGGGTCCGGCGTGGCGCGTGCTTTCTCAGCGCCGGGCGCTGGGACCTTCCCGGGCTGCGAGCATTCTCAGGTCTGGATCGCTGGACACGGTTGCAGTGAGGCGCTTTGGGGAGGTGAAGGCGGAAGACCCCAGATATGCTACCGTCTGTTACATGGGGCTTTGAGATTGAGCATCTGGGGTCGCGGTTGACCTGGGACTTGCAGCCAGAAATGAATCCAAGGCCCAGGGCGCGGTTGGGTAGATAGAAACAGGCACCTTTCTACCCACTTCACTATGCGACCCGACTTTGTACGTCTCGTGTAATGGAAATAAAGACCCCGCCTGCCAGAGCTGTGCAAATTGAAGCAAATGGTATATAAAGTTATCTAACACGATAAATACTGTGAAGAGTTTTGGTGAAGTTGCTTCTACTTTCTAGGGGACTCTCCAGTCAGTGCCCTTATTTTGTTTCTCTAAAACCAAATTAATCTTTACTAATTACTCCAAAATTCTCCTACTCCCATACCCTTGGGGCTTCTGGTCTTTGCTAAATGTTTGTAGCTAAGGTCATTTGGATGAATTACGCACACCATACCCTTGCTTGTTTTTAAAGGGATTGTCATTTACCAAAATAAAATCTTGAAGGCCTGTTACGGTAACAGACTGAAGTGAAGAGATTCTGGCAGTTTTAGGAGGTAGGTATGTTTGGGCAAGATCATGATAGGTGAAAGACTTAAGTCAGGCTTGTCTTTTCCTGCCTGGCAATTTTGAACTTTATGTTTTTTCGAGTAGTTGTTCTGTTGTCCTTTTGTTTGTTTTTACAGTTTATTCTCTTCTCCATTTCTTGAACCCTGAAGGGTGTGTGTATATGTTTCTCTTTCTATCCCTCTCCCTTCACAGCTTTTACAGAAAAAGCAGCTGTATAGCGGAAGGGGGGAGGGGTGCTATTTAATGTTACATTTTAGTGAAATATATCATTTTACCTTTTTTAAAAAATTTTTTTATTTCATTTATTTATTTTTAAGTAAGCTCTATGCTCAATGTGGGGCTTGAACTCAGGACTCCAAGATCAAGAGTCGCATGCTGTAGCAACTGAACCAGCCAGATGCCCCTCATTTTACTTTTTAATAACAATTTTCTTTTTTTTCTCCAGAGCTAATTTGAAAGAAGAGCGAAGACCTCTAAAAAGTCATTTGGAAACATCTCTAAATATTGTAAAGAAAAATTAATCCTCAACAAAACTAACTGAATAATTGAAGTAGGTTTATGTGTGTCATCAGTTCTATCCAGAAGTTGAAGAATCTTCCTTTGAATTTAAGGATTGTGTGCCTTTAATGAGAGGATGACTTTTCAATTTAATTTTACTATAGAAAACCATCTGGAAAATGAATCAACACCGCTTGGAGATGGAGCTTTGGCCCTAGATTCCTCCAAAGGGCCTTCAGTCTCAGAAAGTAAAGAAGGTAAACACAGGGACAGAAAATGTTCTACAGAACAGTTTGACTGGCCTCAGGATCATTTGTCGGAACATAAGCCAGTGGGCAATGCAGCTGCCTCGCAAGACACCGACCGCTCACTCGGTGCAGCAAATAGCTCAAATAACTTGGAGCCACATGAAAAACATCCCTGCATGAGTGTTGCCCAAGAGCATCCTATGCCTAAAGATTTAAAGAAAGTGTTAGAAAACAAAGTCGTAGAAACACTATCAGGTCCCCAACATGTTAATGTATCAACAGTGAAAACCATCTTGTTGAAAGAGAACTTCCCTGGAGAAAATACAGTTTCACAAAGCATTTCTTCTCACTCTGATCTGATTACTGGTGTTTATGAAGGAGGCTTAAAAATCTGGGAATGTACCTTTGACCTGCTGGCTTATTTCACAAAGGCCAACGTGAAATTTGCTGGGAAAAAAGTGTTGGATCTTGGCTGTGGATCAGGGTTGCTGGGGATAGTTGCATTCAAGGGAGGGGCCAAAGAAATTCATTTTCAAGATTATAACAGTATGGTGATTGATGAAGTAACCTTACCTAATGTAGTGGCTAACTCAACTTTGGAAGGTGAAGGAAATGATGTAAATGAACCCGATGTGAAAAGATGCAGGAAATCAAAAATAACACAAGAATTATGTAAGTGCCGGTTCTTTTCAGGGGAGTGGTCTGAGTTTTGTAAGCTTGTACTAAGTAGTGAAAAGTTCTTTGAAAAATATGATCTCATTCTCACCTCAGAAACCATTTACAATCCAGATTATTACGATACTTTGCACCAGACATTCCTTAGATTGTTAGATAAGAATGGACGGGTGCTCTTAGCCAGCAAAGCACATTATTTTGGTGTAGGTGGAGGTATTCATCTCTTTCAAAAGTTTGTGGAAGAAAGGAACGTATTTGAGACTAGAACACTCGAAATAATTGATGAAGGACTAAAGAGATTCCTAATTGAAATGGCTTTTAAGTAACTGAGTTATTGTCCACTGAGTGTCCTAAGTGAAATAAAAAGAATAACCAAAAACTTTTGAATGTTTTATTTCTGCTTTGCTATTATTATTTTTTTAATTATGATGTTTGTTTGTTTATCCAAATAATATCCCAGCTATATTAATAACATGTACTTGCTAGGGGAGCTAGATAAATAGTATTCTGAGCACTTGATGAGATCTAGGAGATTATTTTGTGGGAACGTTTTCTGCTCTCTACCTTTATTCTATTTGGCCTTTCTACCACCTTTGACATTAAATAAATTTTTTCTCGGGGAAACTTGACACTTTCTATTTCTTTTTTTTACGATTTTTTTTTTTTAAGATTTTATTTATTTGACAGAGAACGCACAAATGGGGAGCAGCAGAGGGAGAGGGAGAAGCAGGCTCCCTGCTCAGCAGGAAGCCCGATGGTGGGGCACATCCCAGGACCCTGGGATCATGACCTGAGCTGAAGGCAGACGCTTAACTGACAGCCACCCAGGCGCCCTGACACTTCTTATTTCAAGTTTGAATTTCTTCTCAGTCTTCTGTTTATATGAAGTGCCTAGTCAGATGATCATGCCATTAATTCTAAGGGCATACATATGCATCACTAAATGGTACGAACCTAAATACTAGACTGAAGACCTTAGGTAACTAGGAAGAAGCTTTTTGTTTTATTTTTATATTCATTTATCTCATATAAGAATAAGAATTCTGAGCAACTGAATTCACCCTGAGATGGGAGAAATAAAGGGGAATCATGATAGTATAAAAGTTACCCAGAAAATCCAATAAAAAAATAAACACTAAAAAAATCACCAATCGATAACCTGAATTTTCACCTTAAGACACCAGAAAAAGACGAGCAAACTAAACCCAACAGAGGCAGAAAGAAGGAAATAAAGATTAAAGCAGAGATCATGAAATAAAGAATAGAAGAACAATAGAAAAAACTCAACAAAACCAAAAGTGGGGTCTTTGAAAAAATCAACACATTTGCCAAATCCTCAGCTAGACTGATCAAGAAAAAGAGGTCTCAGATTATTAAAATCGGTAATGAAAGAGGGGGTATTACTAGTGACCTTACAGAAATGAAACAGCTTTTAAGGAAATTACACAAGATCTAACTAAGTGAAAAGACACTGTGTTCAGGGGTTGGGAGACTTAGTATTGTTAATTCCCCACACTGATCTGCAGATTCAATAGGATCTCTAACAAACCCTCACTGACACACAGGTACCAACATTTGTTATCTCTTGTCTTTGTCATGGTAACCACTCTGTGGGCACCCATTCAACTTGCAAAGTATCTTTTACAACCTTAAAAAGCACAAAAGCCAAGTGTTGAAATATATTGAACTTAGAATTAGGCCTTTGGATCTCTGTATCGCAGTGTTGAAGCCAGATTTTAAAAATTAAACTTTTTAATTTTTTTTTAAAGATTTTATTATTTGAGAGAGAGTGAGAGAGAGAAGCAGACTCCCCCGCTGAGCAGGGAGCCCGATGTGGGCTCCATCCCAGGACCCTGAGATCATGTCCTGAGCTGAAGGCAGATGCTTAATGGACTGAGCCACCCACATGCCCCTAAATTTTTTAATTTTGAGAACTATGAATTCATATGTAAGAAATGTATGTGAAAAATAATACAAAGAGATTTTGTAGAAACTTCACCTGTTTTCTCCCAATGCTGACATCTTGCAAAACTATCGTACAATATCACAACTAGAAAATTGACATTGATATTGTCAAGATATAATAAAAGAGTATCATCACGACAGAGGTTCCTTCTGTTGTCCTTTTTTTTTTTTTTTTTTTTTTGGCTACACCCACTTTCTTCTCTGGTTCCTTCCTCTCCTAACCCCAGAAACTACTGACCTGTTCATCTCTATAATTTGTCATTTAAAGTATGTCATATACAGGCGCTTGGGTGGCACAGTCGGTTAAGCATCCAACTCTTGGTTTCAGCTCAGGTCATGATTTCAGGGTTGTGGTCTCAAGGTGGTGAGATCAAGCCCCCGTCAGGTTCCGCTCCATGCAGAGTCTGCTTAAGACTCTCTCTCCCTCTCCCCCCTACCCCTCCCACCCCGCCCTCTCCTCTCTTGCTCTTTCTCTAAAATAAATCTTTAAAACATCCTTTAAAAAAAATAAAGAAAAATAAAGAATGTCATACAAACAGAACCGCACAGTATGTCACCTTTGGAATTGGCTTTATTTCAGTCAACATAATCTATAGATTCATCCACGTCATTGCATGCATCAATAGTTTGTTCCTTTTTTCTCTTTTTGTTATTGAATAGTGTTAAAAAAAAAAAAACTTATAGTACTTATGGTTAACCCCTTGTAGCCAAGGAAGTAGGAGACCCTAGGGAAAAAGAATAGCAAAGGAAAATCTCAAATTCTGGGGAGGATAGACTCCTTACTAGTTAAATAGGAAAGAGGAGAGGAAAAGGTTTTGATTCTAGTGTGAAAATGTTCACATTTGACATACCAGAAGTTGGGATCTGCCTTCCTATCTGCAGCTATAGCATAATTGGAAGTATTTTTTTTTTCTTTCTTGGAGGTACCTAAAATAATGGTACAACTTGGACTCAATGAAATGTGCTATTTACTGGACATCAGGTTGGGACTTTTTATATAGCATCTTGCTTAATAGGACCTTGTGAAGTATATATCATCCCCGCTTAATAAGATTATAATAGCTAACAGTTTTCAGCATTTACTGTATGCTGGGCAGAAGAGCTTTACATAGGCTAACACTTCATATTCATAACGGCCCTCAATTAGGTTATAATTGCTATCTGCATTTTATAGATAAAGAAGTTGAGACTTGAGGAAGTGGGTGATTTGATCCCAGTCACATCCTCCCCTAGAACCAGAATCTGAACAGAAGTCTTTTTAAAAGCTTTTCTCTTTCCACCAGCCCAGTGGGCTTAACCTTACCAATGCCTGTTTTTCATCACAAATATTTCCTAAAAAAAAAAAAAGATTTTATTTATTCATTTGAGAGAGAGAGCAAGAGAGAGAGAGAGAGCACGAGCAGGGGAGAGGGGCAGAAGGAAAGGGAGAAGCAGACTCCCCACTGAGCAAGGAGTCTGATGTGGGACTCAATCCCAGGACCCTGGGATTATGACCTGAGCCGAAGGCAGGCAGATGCTTAACCGACTGAGCCACCCAGGCGCCCTGCATCACAAATATTTCTTAGTACCCTTTGATTATTATGAAATGGATGTCATAGTTAAAGAAACTTCTTACACATATCATCAAAAATTATATTGGGGGTGCCTGGGTGGCTCGGTTAAGCCTCTGATTTTGGCTCAGGTCATGATTTCAGGGTCCTGGGAGCCTCAAGCCCTGTGTTGGGCTCCCTGCTCAGTGGGGACTTTCCATCTCCCTCTGCCCCTTCCCCAACTCGTGTGTGCTTTCTCTCTCTCTTTCTCTCAAATAAATAAAATCTTTTAAAAAATTATAATGTATATAAATTCCTCATGTATATGTAATCATGTATATCATATATATGTATATAAAACTATAATGAAGAAAGTCATAAATAATTTTTATCTCATCAGGTCAATGCACAGGTGTAGCGACAGAGAAGACATGTAGTAGTTGGACACTTGTACCTAGGGTACCATTACTGCAAAGACCACAACACAAAAGACTTAAGATACAAATTACGGTGACAAATCCAGGAAAAGGATGCATAATAAGCTTTCTTGTGTAAAGAGTTTACCTTAATCATTTAAAGAGGCATATAAGTTAAAACAATGAGATTTGGAGTCCAATACCTTGGGTTAAAATTGTTTCCCCACCTGTAAAACAAGCCTTGTAATAGTATCTCCCTAACAGATTTCTTAAGGAAAAATAGTTAATACTGAGCACTTATCATGGTTGCTTCCAGATGGTTCCTTTGTATAAATGGAAATGAGTATTTCCAAGAATCCTCATAATATTTAGTCATTCTGTTTGCTCAAATAGGAGGCCTTGCTCTTTTTTGTTAAAAATGGGGTTTGTGCCTTTACAGGTTACAAATCCCGGTTCAAAACTTGGAGAAACAGGTGAATTCCAGACCTCGCACCCAGCTCCAACCTCCGTTTTCTCCCTTCACCTCCCTCACTCCCTTCTCCTCACAGTTTCTAAGCTGCTCTTTTTGGATGCTTTGGCGTTGCAGATCTTTAAGGATGAAGAAGTATGCATCTTGTAAATTTGTTTCTAAAATATCAGTTCCATATGTTCTGTGTCTGCCTCTAAATTGCCCATTTCTCAGATGTGCCTGGATGATTAGGTCCAGTTCCACTGCTTCACAGATGTCTTTCAGCCCAATGCTCCAAATCTGGAAAGGATGGGAAATGCCTCCACGCTGACCGGGAGTGGACACACTGCCCTGTGTTAAATAATGCAGGTGCTGTAGTGATTTTAGGGGAGGGGATGAGCTGTTCAGCTAGAGAATGCACTTTTTGAGAGGAGAAAATATGTCTTCACTTCTCAGTACCCTCCATGGTGTTTCACTCAGGTGCTTAATAAATAACTATTTGAAAAAGAGAGATAGCAAGGAATCTCTGTGACACCATGGACTTCATTCTTTTCCTCCACCTCAGCCAGAATCTCCAGAACTTCGGATACTGTGATGTGGTGGCTTTATGCTTGCTGATGTTAAGGCTTTTCTTTGGGTAAAAGTGCACATTTAAAAGCACCATCATAACTTGGATGCAGCCCAGTGGAAAAGGTGCCATGTCACAGAAGAATCCTTTACTATGGCCCAAGGCTGGAGCTCCTAGCCAACCAGGATGGTTAGGGGAAGCCACCATGCATTCATCACTACTAGGTGTCCTCTTACAATTCTGATTTCTGTCTTCTTAAGGAACTCAAAGCGAACTCAGACAACCTTTAAACATAGGCCCATCATCAGGGCGCATGGGTGGTGCGGTCAGTAGGGCACCAGACTCTTAGTTTACGCTGCGGTCGAGATCTCAGGGTGGTGATCTCAAGGTTGTGGAGTCAGCCCTGCATTGGACTGTGTAGGCCCCACCTTGACCTTGCCTGGGGCTCCACAC